AGAGAAGCAAGGCAAATCTTTGTACTTTTCAAGTGTTGAGAGCAGCACCTGGCAGCAGGTGTTCAAAGCATGCTGTTTGCTGCTGTCCCTGTCAGGAGCGGATCTGTGTGTAGTTAGGGAACAATCACCAAGGCAGAGTCTCAAGTGAGAGACTCTGACACCGAGTTGTGTGTCTAGTGTGCTTCTGTGTGTGTCACAGAGGGAGGTGTCAGTATCTGTGCATAGACAGATCTACCGCAAAGTGTGTGTTTCCTAGAGACAGGGACCTGAAAACAGGGTGAGGGGCCGCGTCTAGGAAATAAGACATGGAACTATAGGAAGATTTACCATGTCTGCTTACCAGTCTCTGGCTTGCTTTCTCTCTTTCTCTCTCTTTCAAGATTTATTTTTACTTTATGTGTATGAATGTTTTGCCTGCATGTATGTCTATGCACCATGTGTGTACCTGGTACCCATGGAGACCAGAAGAGGGTCGGATCCCCTAGAACTGGAGTTACAGGCAGCTGTGAGTCACCATGTGGGTACTGAGAACTGAACCCCGTCTTTGCAAGAGCAGCCAGTACTCTTAACCACTGAGCTGTCTCCCCAGCTCCTTTTGAGAAAATAAAAGAATGGCAGTGGTGGGGGCTGTTTCCTGCTGGGTTTTATCCAGCTTCCAGGAGCAGAATGTAGGGGCACAGCTCCTTACCTCCCAGCTTACTCTAGTGCCACTTGAGCTGAAAGAGAGCTGGAAGAGGGGCCTGTCCTGTGACCTCATCCTCCCTGCCTCACACTTAGGTCCACACTCATGTCTCTTCTCCTCCCCTCCCCTCCCCAGCACCTGACCTTAGCTGTGGACCCTGAGGGTACTGTGCTTCTAGCATGGGCTGGGGTCCTGGGGTCCCTCTCAGCCCCTCTCCTTTACCCTGACATACTGTTCTCTCCTCTGCTTCCTTTCTCCTTACCTGTGTGGCTCCCTCTCTCTCCGGCTCCTTCTTCCTGTCTCCACCTCTTTGACTGATGGCTTCCACTCAAAGAACTTGGTAAGTGAGCCTGGGAGGGCAGTGGGGCTGCGGGATGTGCTGGGCACTGTGGGAATGGGCATCACAGAGGACCTTCCTCAACCAGAGTGGGCATAGCCCAGATGCCCCCACCGTCCTGGACTTCCAGATACTGTGGTTAAGGGGCCAGGATTCAGGGGAGAGAGAGGCACCAGTGCCACTGGTTTAGAGCTGTCACGCTCTGTTGCCTTTGGCTATTAGTGTCCCTTCGGGCATTTAATTGGTCCCCTCTAGCTGACAGAATAGATCCTACGCCAGAGAGAACTGAGAATTCACAACCAGAGATGCCCAGAGCATCATGGTCTATATAGTCCCCAGGGAGCAACTCTGGGTTGGAGGCTCTGGAGCCCTCAACAACCTGCCTGGACCCCAAAATGGGTTGATGGGGCTGATGGGGCTGAAGGGACTGAAGGGGCTTGGCTCCTAGGTCTCACAGTCTCTGGCCTCTGGGCTCTCTGAGCCAGGCAGTTGCCCTTGGCTGTGAGAACAAATGAACACAAGTCCTTACCTTGCCAGTCCAGTGAGATGGTGAAGGCTGGTGGGCAGGTGGGTAGCACGGTGTCTGGTAAGCAGGCAGCTCCAGGGGACTCAGGTGCTGGGCCTCTGGTTTCCTCCAGGCTGCCTCCTTAGATTCCTGTCTGGGGAGGGAGGATGGACCAGCTCAAGGGCCTCTGGGGCCAGAGATACCTAGTTGTCCCCCTCACCAGTAAGAGCTTCCAGAAGGGAGTCACTCCAATATCCCCTGGGAAGCCATGTCTGCCCTGAGGCCATGTGTTCAACCACAAAGGGCCAGTCCACCCTGGTGGAGCACTAAGTGGGTGGGTTACACAGGAGCCAGCAGTGTATCCCTGGTACTGAAAACCCCAGGTTGATGACCCAGTGAGCATCTGTGACCAGGGCCAGGAGAACTCTCCTGACTGAGTACACATTCCAGAGAGGAGTTCCCCATGAGCTAGGAAAACTAGCAGGCTTTATCTCTGCCTTCAGCCTTGCCTCTGTCTGAGCTGTGATCCTGGGGGGCCCTGTGAGCCATGGCCCTGGATAGAGCCATGGTCCTGAATAGAGCCAAATGGGGAAATAGCTCAGAGGTAGAGCACTTGCCTAGTATGTGTGAAGCCCTGGATTCAGTCCCTAGAGTGTGACTAGGGTAAAACATTGAGCTAAAGAGAAATAGTCCACCCCGAACCTCCAAGAGACGGGCTTGGGCTGTGGCTGTGGCTGTGGCTGTGGCTGTGGCTGTGGTTACACTGCCCAGCCTGAAATCCCTTTCTATTTCTTCCTTCTTCCTCCTTTATCTCCCCTGGGTCTTAAATTTTTATTTTTACATTTATATATTTATTTTGTCTGTGTGGGAAGGGAGCATGCATGTGCCATGGCAGGCATGTGGAGGTCAGAGGACAACTTGCAGGAATCAGGTCTCCTTCCACCACGTAGGTCCCAGATATTGAACTCGGTTCCTTAGGCCTGGCAGCAAGCATCCTTACCACCGAGCCCTGAGCCATCTCACCAGCACTCCACTTGGTTCTCAACTGGATGCAGGGACATCCCTCTCCCCTGCTCGGGTCCCTCAGTTGAGAAAGGAACAGAAGGTGGAAAATGAGCTAGACACAGAGAATATATGACAGGATGACAGAAAGAGCTGGAGGAGACTCCTTAGGCCTAGACACAGAAGTGGAGATGAAGTAGGCAGCATCACTTGAGGGGAGAACAAGAACTCGTAGGGGGTGGGGCAGAGAGACCCCCCACCTGCAACCCCTGTGCCTCCTCACTGCCCCATAAGGCAGTTCCACTGACCTCACCCTCCAGTCCTCTCTGCTCCCCATTCTGGCTCTGGCCCCTGGCCTTCTACGCCCTTCCCAACTAACTTTTTCACTCTCATCCAGGGTCTGAACAGCATGTTCGAGGTGTACCTGGTAGGCAACAACTCCCACCATTTCATCATCTCTCCGACGTCTGTCCAAGGGAAAGCGGATATCCGCATACGAGTGGCAATCCCCCTGGATTACGAGACCGTGGACCGCTATGACTTTGATGTAAGCCTCCCTCAACAGCTGTTTGGGGCTTTTTGAGAGGCTGCAGGGGTGGCCAGGGAGGGTAGAGCACCACTTCCTTAAATCCCACCGCACAGCTCTCCTCCTCTCCTTACAGATCTGACCCAGAGAAGCCACTGAGAATGACAGGGACTGTGCCCAAACTACCCTTTTGAAGGAGGGCAAAGATATGCCTGGGAAAGGGACAATTTCCCCCAGGCCCACCACAGCCTCAGGAAGCCCCTCAGGTACCCCTGTAGATTAACCTGTCAGCCAGCTCCCAGAGCCCCTCCCTCCCAACAGAATCAGTGGCCCACAGAGGGACTCACAGCACACAGCTGACATGAGCTCTGACCACAGCAGGTGCTCTGAGTTGGTACAAGCTAAGACACAAACAGGTCCTATATGGGGACAGCAAGGGCCCCAGATGCACACGAGAGCTCACCCAGCCCTGCTCTGCTCCCCTAGCTCTTTGCCAATGAGAGTGTTCCTGACCACGTGGGCTACGCCAAAGTGAAGATCACCCTCATCAATGAAAATGACAACCGGCCCATCTTCAGCCAGCCACTGTACAATGTCAGCTTGTATGAGAATGTCACCGTGGGGACCTCTGTGCTGACAGTCCTGGTGAGTCTCTGCATCCACAGGGGACACCAAGCAGCTGGGTGTCAGGTGCCCCCAAGAGCCCAGAGGCTGATGGTTGGTGTATCTAGATTCTGTGATACTAGGCTCCTTGCAACAGGGAGAAGGGGCCAGCCTGGAGGGTGGTGAGACTGGGGCAGCACACTGGTTTTCTGCTTTTTCTCTGAAAGGCAATCATCCCAGATGGGCCAGGAGTTATAGAAGATCTATCTAATCAGTGGGCCAGGTGTTGGCCACCTCTGAGAAGGGTAGCTCTCCCTATCTGAGCACAGCAGGCTCCTTAAAGATACCTGGGAAGCTCCCGTTGCCTTCGCTCTTTCATAAGAGATCACCTCTCCCAGTTCCAGTGTGTGTTAGTCAAGGCTCTTGGTTACAAGAGCCAGAAACCCTAATATGGTTCAAACAAGAAAGGATTAGCTCACATAACTTGAAGGTAGAAGTGACTTCAGGCGTGGCTGTATCTGGGTGTTCAGCTGAACTGGAATCTGTCTTCAGCAGCCAGCTCTGCTTTGGTGCAGGGTCTTAGAAGGGCACCAGTGTCCTAGGATTGATCTCAGCACATTAGGTCATCCTAGAACCAACTGTCATCATTCTGACATGTCGGCTATGGGTCAGACTCCTGTTGGTGGTGCTGGGGCGTAGGCCCCAGTTCTGTCCAGATGATATGGGCTGAAAATACAGAAGAGACATCTATTATAAACCTGAATTGGACATCGAACAGCTCAATATGGTAGACTATATATGCACAGGGTCTGACCTGTGGCACTCAATAAATGTTAAGTCACCATTGCCCCCTCCCTATGCACAAGGAGGCCCACAGAGACCTCACTGCCATTTCTTGCTCCAAGCTGATGCTGCCTGCCATAGCAGGCCCCCCAATCCTGAAGTGTGTTTACTTTGTAGACAGATGGTATGGAACAGCACTGCACCCCCAGGCCCTTCCCATCTGACAGTTATTAATATTTCAAGCAGATATTTAGCTAGTCAGGCCATCAGATGGAAACAGTAAGTCTGCTGCGGCTGGTTTTAGCACCCTTTGCGTCCCAGCCTGGGAGTCCCACAGCCTTTACCACAGTGCCCCAGCAATATACCACCTTCTACCTTGAGCTCCCGAACCCCTCCTCTAACCTCCCAGGCCCATCTAGAAAGCATGTGCCAGAGGATCCGGCCTCCTGGATCCAAAGTGTGTGTATAGTCTCTTGTATACCCTGGAACGTCATGGGAGAGGGCATCATGCAGTCTGTGATGTACCAGGCAGGGGGACAGTGAGTGGTTCTAACCTTCCCCAAGGTTGAGGACCATGTGGCAAAGAGTTCTAGTGTGGGGACCAGGTCTGGTGCTGTCAGGAAACTCTGCAAGAGTCCTTGCTGGTACAGCAGTCTCTGTTTGCATTTGGTATTCCTGTAGCTGGAGGAAGGACCTGTGGAGCGGGGCTGAAATTGAGGTGTGAGCTGGGCAAAGTGTGCCCAGGCTCTGGGGAACATGAGCCAAGCAAGCTGCGTATATCCACAGCTGTAATAGGCCCCTGGGGCTGCCACAGACCCAACTAGCCCCACCTCGAGTCTCGCTTACTTTCCTTCCTGTCAACAGACAAGCTTAGCCTCTCCTGGCCAGCCTCTGGTTTCCAGTTTCCCCATGCCAACTTCATTCCCTCCCTTTCAGATCCCTCACCCCAGGTCTATGGAACCTTGAAGTTGTAGGGCTCTTTCACCTGGTAATAAGTTCTAGTGACAGGACCTAGAGCCTCAATCTCCACCTTTACTGAGGGCTGCTCTATCCATGTCCCTCTGAGCATTCATGACCTCACCTCATCTGTAAAATGGGTACAACACCTCCCAATGTTGGGACAGAGGATACAAATGCATTCCTGAGTGACTCCCACCCCCAGCTCTTCTCCATCACCTCAAGGTACACCCCAGCTCCTGGCCCCACCCAAAAGTACCCCTCCTTAGCCCCCCAGCCCCACCCCTCACGTTGAAGCCCTACCGGCAGCCTTTTAGCCCTCTGGCCATCTTGGCCACCCTCTCCTTTCCAGCTAGGTCCTCTCTCCTTCTCTGCCTCAGAAAGGGCCGCAGTTATAGCTGCCTGCTCAGGGCTGTGAAATTCCTTCTTCCTCTGACCTTTTCTGCAGTATTATTAAAATGTTTCATGGGCAGTTGTGTCAGGAAAAAAATTATAAAGAAAACGGAAGATGTTTTCATTTGCACCATAGGCTGAGTAGAGCCAGTTGCAAGGGGCTTGCCCAGCCCCCACCCTGACACAGCCCTGTTTCTGTGAGAGCAGGCCACAGGGTCACCCCCCTTCTAGAACCTCTGGCTCCATCAGGAAAATTTCTGCCTCTGGGGCCAGAGCTGTGGGGGCTCTTTTCGTTGACAGGGACACTCGGGGAGGCCTGAAACTGTGCCCAGTGAAACGGCCTGACAGCCTCCTAGAGCTGTCTATAACAAGAAGGACTTGTGGGAGTGGGGGGCAGGGTGTCAGCAGTAGGAGGTGTCTGAAGGGACAGTCCCAGGCAGGGGTGCAGGGGTACTGCTCAGTCACAGTGTGTTTGTGATTGGGTGTACAAGCTGTGGAGTCTGTTAACTGGTGTTTGTTACTATAATACAATACCCAAGGACGAATATAAAGAAAAGAAGTTTACTGAGCTCACAGTTTTGGACACTGAAGGTCCATGATCAAGTGACCTGAGAGCAGGCCACAGGGTCACCCCCCTTCTAGAACCTCTGGCTCCATCAGGAAAATTTCTGCCTCTGGGGCCAGAGCTGTGGGGGCTCTTTTCGTTGACAGGGACACTCGGGGAGGCCTGAAACTGTGCCCAGTGAAACGGCCTGACAGCCTCCTAGAGCTGTCTATAACAAGAAGGACTTGTGGGAGTGGGGGGCAGGGTGTCAGCAGTAGGAGGTGTCTGAAGGGACAGTCCCAGGCAGGGGTGCAGGGGTACTGCTCAGTCACAGTGTGTTTGTGATTGGGTGTACAAGCTGTGGAGTCTGTTAACTGGTGTTTGTTACTATAATACAATACCCAAGGACGAATATAAAGAAAAGAAGTTTACTGAGCTCACAGTTTTGGACACTGAAGGTCCATGATCAAGTGACCTTGTTGGTTCTGCATCTGATGTGTGACAAACAGCAGATGGCATCGTGGCAGAAGCAGTTATCAGAGGGAGAAAGCACATCACAAGACAGGCTCTTTTTACAAGAACTAAGGAGTCCTGTTAGTACCTCCTTAGTCTTTTCCATGGACACACTCCAAAGACCTAAGAACCTCCCCCAGATCCTGCCTGGTACATCACCATACCGAGGCTCCATCTCCCAGCATGTGAACCCTTGGAGACATGGACAAATCACATCCAAACCACACATGTATACATGCACAGTCATACTTCTACATGCATGTACATGTATGTAATTATGGGTATTTGCAGCAACATTTGTACCAGTATATACCCAGGTATGGATGTGTGTGTGTGCATGTGTGAGTGCATGCATGCGTGCATGTGTGCACACATGCTGCAACTATGTGCATTCAAGTATATGCATACGTACATTGTACATAGGTGTATGCAGGGCAGGGCTCCCCCATGTCCAGGTTAGGATGGGTCTCCTCCTCATATCTGCCAGCCACTCTTTGAGTCTCAACCTCCCAGAAACAGCAGTCAGGCAGGAAGGCCATGAAGCATCTTGTCCTGGGTCCCTCCTTGGCATGGGGTAATCCAGGAACCTGGCCCATCAGTGTCAGGGGCCTGGTAGGGTTTGTGGGTATCACTGGACAGTAGGAGAGGTTCAAGGTGAATGTAAGTATTCATTCAACAAATGTCTGGTGACTGCTAACTAGATGCCAGGCACATGGCCCAAAGGACACAGTGGTGGTGAGGACTTGCTTCACAGAGTTCACACTCTCTTAGAAAGCCTGATGTTGATATTAAGAAATGAGTCTTTATATTACTACTTTCTGTGATGGAGACCAGAGAACCTGTTACAGGGTCCCTGATCTTGACTGGGATCATAGAATACTTCTCTGAGGAAGTGGCATTGAAATCGATATTAGCAGGTAAATAAGGGAGGGAAGGACATTGGAGAAAGCAAGAACAGCATGTGCAAAGGGCCTGTGGCTGGAATGAGGAGAGGGATGTGATACAGAGAGATGAAGTCCTGCTTCCTCAAAGCCAGACGCTCAAATGGCTCTCTTCATTGCAAATTTACATCCCCACTGTGCCCATTGGGCTGCTATTCTGACAGTGGGACAGCTTATATCAAACCACCCTCATGCCCTTATTCTCTGTGGGTAGCATCTGGGAAACAGCAGTGTAAGGAGCCAGCATGGCTGCCTGCAGTTTGGGGATCAGGCTTTCAACTGTCTGGGCGCCATGTTCCCTGGCAATGGAAAGGAAGGGAGCTGAGGATGAACAGTGCCTAAGGGGCAGGCAGGCCACCTCTGGGACAGTCCCTATTGGAGGCCCAGGCCTCTGCCTGCTACAGGGGTGGACCACAGCAGGATGGACTGTATACAAAGCAGGCAAGATGAAGGCAGGCAGGCAGTGCGTGCCTGAGGGTCCTGACAGATTGGCAGGTCGCCATTGCCCTGTCCAGGATAGAGTGCCACCTCCCAGCTGCAGGCAGACTGACCTCAAGGAGGCCACTCAATGACAGGCCCCCTTCCCACTCCGTTTTCCAGCTCACTCTACTGTCTATGGCCTTGGGCCAGGTCACAAGTCACCTGGGGGACCTAAAATACTGTTTTTCTATAGGGCGATCACTCCTTCCCTGGGACTCTGTTGCCTTCCTACCCAGTGAGCAAGTGGAACCATCCCAGGCTGCACCCCTAGATGCTAGGATGCCCAGGATGGTGACATGGATGTGAAGTGTAGTCCACACAGATGTAAAGGAGTACCTCGCACTATGGTTAGCCTATCTGTCACCCCACCCCTGAGGACCAGTTCAGGTCTGCCACAGTGGGTCTTTCACAAGCCATCGGGCCTCAGTTTC